GCCACATCGACCCGGGTTCCCCCCGCGTCCGCATCCTCTCTGCTGCCAGGGGTGCGGGTGGGGGGCCAAGGGGGCAAGCCTTGAGCCTGGGGTGGGTTGGGACAAGTTAGTGGGCACTTTTAAACTTTCTGTTGCCATTCACTTTGTCTAGAAATGCTTCACTCCCCTATAACGCTGCAAGTTTCAGCCAGTGGGACTGATGTATTTATCAGCTACCGGAGGAGCACCGGCTCCCAACTAGCCAGGTGGGCAACACGATCACGCTGGGTTAAAGCCCAGGCATGAGGTTAGTGAAGGGTTTACAGAGAGCCTCAATGGAGCTGGCTGCACACACAAGAAAGGGAGCGCTGCAGCTGGCAGGAAGGCGGGGAGGGGGGCCACCAGCTGAAATGCAAACAGGGACAACAAATGCCACAGGCTGCGTGACTAACAGGATAATTTGCAGTCCCATAACTGCCATTCTGTCCCTCTTTGACACTGACACCTTTTCTTACGCTGTATTCATAGGGCTATAGAGGATCACAGCCGGGAGTTAGTGTCCTACTCCTTGTTTTCCTGCCAAAGCCCAGATACCTCTAGTAGCGAGGCAGGGCTGGCAGCTGACATCTCCAGGACCACGCTGTGCTCTGCAGAAGCCTTTTCCTGCTTCTCTGTTTCCCAATGTTCTGGCTGAGGTGGCGGGAGAGCGCACAAAAGCCAGGCACAGCGCTCCTCACGCTGCTGTCTCCTCTCACCGCCAGCCTGCTGAAGGTCCACCTGCAGCTGCACGGCTTCAGCGTCTTCATCGATGTGGAGAAGCTGGAGGCAGGGAAGTTCGAGGACAAACTGATCCAAAGCGTTCTGAGCGCCCGGAATTTTGTGCTGGTCCTCTCGCCAAACGCACTGGATAAATGCATGGGAGACCCTGAATGCAAGGACTGGGTGCACAAGGTAAGAGATGCCAGAAAATGGGAATGTGGTGTGAGTTGGGAGGAGGAGTGGGCTGGTGATGGACTGATGCATAATCTGAGCGCTGCACATACGCACAGGAGATCGTGACAGCCCTTAACGCCGGGAAGAACATCGTGCCAGTCACAGACCATTTCGAGTGGCCTGATCCACTGACACTTCCTGAAGACATGAGAGCTGTCCTAAAATTCAACGGCATCAAGTAAGTAAGAGCAGCCTGCGCTACGGGGTGCCTTGGCACTGGAAAGGACAGCTTGCCTAAGCAGTAGCAAAGAGCACAGGGAGATTGAGGGAAAGGGATGAGGGAGGCAGAGCAAACCAAAGGGGAGCTGAGTCACTTGAGGTATTCTAGAGTATGGGGAGAGCAAAGGTCCCCACTGTGACCCTTCTGCTGCTTTTGCACATGGGACCCATCGGGATAAACAGAGTTTCTGCCCCCTCTCCTCTGGAAGGACACCCATCCTCACCACCCCTGTCCCCTGGCAGGAGCTTGCTGTCCCCTCCAGCCACACCGGATACCTTTCGCCTCCTGCTTCTCTGTGGGGAAGTAGTGCTCCAAGCTGCCTTTCCAAATTGTTTGTAGCCCTCTGATGGGATCCATGGGGCCTTCCTGGAGCATCTAGCGTTCCTCCATTTTCACAGGGAAAAGGGCCGTTTACTGGAAAGCTGGACTGGATGTGGGAAAAGGGAATCCTTGGCCCATGGCCCAACATCTGAGCTATGTTGCAATGTCTCATACAACAGAAAATGTAACTGCTGTTTCCCCCTCCAATACAGATGGTCCCATGAGTACCAGGAGGCCACAATTGACAAAATCATCCGCTTTCTCCAGGGCCGTTCCTCCAGGGACTCGTCCGCTGGGTCAGAGAATGGCCTGGACTGCTTGCCCTCCCAGGGGCAGGCCTAGAAACAACACAGCTGCCTCGCTCCCTCCAGAGATCTTCCACATGACCCCTTTTCTGGTGGGGCCAAATCTCTCCCTGTGACTTTTCCTACATTTTACTGCTGCCCAAGAGTCTCCCTCCCTCTGGACCTGACCCACCTCTTGGCTTGGGCCTGTGACTGGTGCAGTCACAGGGCTTTAGTCCTTCTTTTTCCCAAATGGAAACCTTTAGCACTAGGCTGGTACTCCCTGAGCCAGTACATGAGCGGAGCCCCTCAAGGAGGGACTGGTTACCTGTCACATCCTCCCTTCAGGACATTCAGGTTATGCCTCCCCAGTGCAGCAAGTGCACAGGAGACAAGCACAGTCCCACCCCTACTCAAATAGCTGCAGCAACACCTAAAAATCGCATCCCTAGAGAAGGGATCCTCTAAGTACTGTAAGCTGGAGGGGTAATGAGGGGTCACAGCAAGACACAGGAGAGAGAACAGTGGTTGAAAGAGCCCATGAGCGTCTTATGGCCTCTGCTGGGAAGCCAGGGAATATCATTAAGGTTGGTAGCTTCACAGAGGAAAGGGCAAACAGTAGCTAAGGCGTAAGGAAATCCCCATGTTTGGGGAAGATAATGCATTCGGCAGGGAGAGTCAGGTCCTTCTCATTCGTTTGGAAAGACACTTCCTCATTATTGCCCCTTCAGCACCCGAGCTCTCTTCTTCCTTGAGGCCTTTCCTTCCTCATGCTGCATAACCACTTTGTGCTCTTAGCTCTGGCCACAGTTCAGTTTTAGATCAAGGGAAGTTTCCAAAGGGCTGTTGCAAGAAGTGCTTTAAAAACAATCCGTTACCCTGACACCTCTGCTTTGCCACTTTATCAGGTATTTATATACAGGGTACAGGAGGCTGGTTTGGGACTCTTGAAAACATATTACCATGCAAGTATGGAAGATGGTAGTTGTGCTGTACCCGTGGAGTTACTGTACACTGGCTATACGTTATATGCAGGTTCTCCAATACAGATTTCCTACGGCTTGTTCTTTGAACAGGAGCCGGCCCACTTCCTTGCTGACTGGCACTTATCTGATAGCCCTGGCTACACTCCCCAAGCTCAGGGTTGTCCCTGCCCTCTGCGGGATGCAGTGCCAGGTAGTGACTGTTTCTGGGTCCCTTCTAACCCCTTTTCTGAAGTCCAGGCGGAGGCTGCTTAGGCCTGAAGATAGGAGAGCAGGACTGGCTGCGTCACTATCAGCACTGCAGCTGAGGAACCTCAACACGCCTCCTCTGAACTCTGCCCTTCTGGCCTCCTCCTCCTCACACCTGCTTGGAGGGGGAGCAGGCCCTCAACAAGGTACCATTTTGCAATTAAGACCCGAAACTGTTGCTCCACCTAGTTGACTTGTCTCTTCTGACGCAAAGGACACCCTGATGCACTGCACACACAGTCCTCCTACGAGGAGCAAAACCATGGCCAGGTGGCCGCAGCCCGCCTAGACACTCTGGGGAGCTGGCTCATGCACCCCCTTGCAGAGCATAGGGCAGAAAGCTCCTCAGCCTGTCCCTGCTCAGGATAACCCTTACCTTTCAGGAGGGAATGAGGAGGCTCAGTCATGCTCCAGGCCAGCAGTCGAGTCACCTTGTCCTTCTCCTGGCTCCCCCTGAAGCCTTTCTGCCTGCCTTAACTTTCAGGAACACAAACATTTGCTTAGATTCATGAATATCTGGGTAAAGCCAAAAAAAAAAAAAAGTTTAATTCAGGTGCTTAATCACATCTTTATGGACAGTTCTTACCAGTTCATAGTTAATGGCATCTCTGCTTTCTGGGGAAAGAAGGTTAATGTCCATATCCACCCAGCAGTAATCAGAAACAGAATCTAGCTAATCTTCAGATTAAAGATGAGGAAGCCAGCAGATGAGCCCAAAGGTGAATATGCTGAAGGATAAAAACCACAGGGCTTTTATGTGAGTTGCTTCAGGGAGAAGTTTTGAGTCACTGGTTGAAGGTCAAGGCCTCCATGCCCGCTGATGGAGTCCTACACAAAGATTCCTAAAGATTTTGTTGCTTGCAACACTATATAAGCCCCCCAGAAAGATACTAGAAGCAAGAATCTTGTGTTAAAAGGGCTTCTGGTTTCTCAGGAGCTCTCCAGCATTTAACCTCTTCACCCATATTCAATATGGAGAAGATTTAGTTGTCGTCTTAGCTGGTTTCACCTGAAATCAGATTCCACCCCTTGCTCCAGCTGTTCAGACTGTAACTCTTCCTGTTTTCTTATCAATCTACTATCTTCACCCTAATGAACCTCCTCTACTCTTTGCAAAGCATCTCAATCCCAAACCCTTCCAGTCAGGGCAGAAGGTCCTGAAGAGAGAAATGCTTCTCACCCTTTCTTATTCCTTTGTCATACTAGAAAGACTTTAAAATTGTTCTATCAGCCACTACTAATAAATGTGGTTTGTACTCCAAATTCTCACCTCCTTTCTGCCTGTGTCACGTGCTTCCCTCTCTCGCCATCGTGCTTTCTCACCCTCACGGGGCAGGACATGCTGACCACAGAACTCAGGGTCTCCAGACACTGTTCTCTGTGAGGAGCCACATTTCATGCTCATCTCTGCATGGCCTGGTGTAGCTCACTGCACTCTGCTTGCTGCCCACAGTCACACTACAGGGATCACATTTGCTACAGGTTATAGTCTTGGAGGAGAGCATAAAAATATTTCTTTTTTTTCTTCCCCCCTCCCTTTTTTTTGTATAGAGCATAATAGATGCTATTGAACTTCTCCTCTGCAAGCACAGTGATGAATAAACAGGGAAGTAGAGCCTGTACACAACAGTTTCACTCCACTGTACGATGTTTAGCAACTGGTAGCACTGGAACTCACAGGCTCTGCTGAGCTTTACTTCACAACCAGTTCGGCCACAGACATCTAACACAACACTCACAGCAAGCCCTGTTCTGGGGCTGGAAGCTAATTCAGGGCTTGGCTTTTGAATCACACAAGTCAGTCCTGCTTGAGTTATGTTCACTGGCATAGCTACAAGGACCAAGTGGAATAACACCAAGTTGTAAAAACCTCCCTACTCCTCCATCTTCTGTCTCCTCACTCCCAAATTCTCCTGTACTTATCAACAAACTCCTAATGAGGAAGGAACAAAGTTATACATCAGCATTTCACATTTACTGTGTATTTAAGGATGGGTTACAGGCAAGACACTGCTGCAAGCTTTACTCTGGTTCAGGAAAAGCAGGTTATAGCAGCTTACAAGTCCCGAAACTGCATTCCTCCTGACTTGGGGCCCTGGCATACTAATTCCCCCCACAGCAGATAACTCCCTGCTGTTGCTTCTTTACTGCAAACTCTTAACTGAAGAGTGAAGAATGAAAATAACGGAGAGATAAGCACTGAACAAGACAAGGACAAATCACAAGCAGCTGCACCACTAAAGCTATCTTTTTTATGAGTCATAAAAGAAAATTGAGATGTTATGAATGCTACAAGTAACATGTCTGCTAAGCAATTTCACAGTGAGAACATTATTGCCTACACCTCTGGATGCTGTGCACACGCTTATCATCAGAACTGCTGCTTTATTGCAGTTGGAAGAAAATGTTATGAGGCAATGCTTGACGCTTTTTAAAGAACAGTTAGGAACATCAGGGTTTGGGCAATTAGGAACATTAGTGGCTTGCTGGCATCAACCAATCCTGAGAAGGTCAGCCCAAGAGAGGTCACAGACAAAATCATGACCCCTACAATGTGAAATTGCACCTCTAAAGATAGCAGTTCTGTTCCCACACCAGCTCACCCAGCAGCACAGGCCACCAACAAGGAAGGACTGAGTTTACCTCTGCCGCAAACACAGCAGCTGTTTCCCAGGCCTTTCAGTGCTCAATCCTCTAAGGTGGGCCCAATACTGTCAATTTTGTCCTTATCCCTGTCAGTTTTAGCCACTATTCACTAGGGTATGAGCTTGTAGTTCAGCATCTTCACCTCTTAGCTCTTACTTCTCATAAGGATCTTGAAATCCCAGTCTGAGCTGCACATGGAGCAACACGATGCGTCACTGGCACTTGCACTTTGTGTATTAGGTGCCAGAGGACCCCTCTTCCTTGTGGAACTAAAACTACTTTACCAAATAGTGGCAACAATAGCACTCCTGTGAACAACTACTGCTTATCATAAGGATGTTTGAAAGAGTCCAGCATGGCCTGTGACATTTCCGTGTTTTTTTTTTTAAGTCACAATGCAATGACTGGAACACAGATCTCTCTCCTTGGCAGGACAGCCCTGGGCTACCTGTCTGCTTCAGTTGTACTCTGTACATCTCACACACACCAACAGCTTGGGAACATGCTTGGCAGTTAAAGAGAGATTTCCATCCCCTTCCCATCACTAAAACCATGGCACAAAAACCTCAAAAAATGAAACAAAGGAAAAAGAAAAAAAAAAAAAAAAGGAAAGAAAACACTACCTGGCCTTGCAAATGGTTTTATTCTTGATTAGCTTTTGAGTCCAAGTTTCTTGGGTTCTCTGACAGACAAGTCAACAGCACAGTGAGGAGGCATTCACACCTGCAAATCAGCTCCCTGCTAGAGAGCTGTGATTTCCAATTACTTGGCATTTAAAAACTAACAAGGACAACCAAGGTGTCCCTCACACACTGATCTGTCCTCCAAAGGGAGGACACACAGCACTCCTGAAAGGGATGCTGCTGACCCAGCCAATTCGTTGTTGCTTTGTCACTCTTCAGCTGTTTGCAAGTGACACGGAAGAATGTGAGAAGTGACGATATTCAAGTTTCGAGCCCCAGACTTCTATCAACCTAAGAAAGAAAGAAAAGAGTTAAAGCCTAGGAAAGAACACTGAAAATTCTCTACTCAAGGTGAGCTTTAGTTTCATAGTAACAGAAATGACCCTGTCAGGAGCTGCTGGAGGTTGAGATGCTGTTTTCCATGCAGAGTTTTATAGGCAGTACATACATCCAACTCCAGAGTCTGGATTCAGTGCTAGAGGTGGAGCGAGACTTTGAAACACTCAATGTAGGCAGTTGCATTACTTGGACTGTAGGTTTATCCCTGCAACTCAGAGGCTAGAAGAAACGGCCTTGCACCTCCACTTACCAGGGCACTAAACTCCCTTCCACAAGGACAATTGAAAACACACCTTAAAAATCTATAGTGAACTCCTGTCCTATGAAGAATAAATAGTGGTTTTAATATTACAGATCAGAGGTCTTTCCACTGAATGTAAAAATAGGAAGCAAATTACCCAATAATAGCTGCTGGAATAAGAAGAATCAGAGCTCCAAAGAGAAAGGGGAATCCTCTCATGAAGTGCAGACTAGCAGGATAGAGAGAGTTGAACACTCCTGCAGCCACAAGTGAACACAGCCCTTCCACACAGGCAACAGAAGCAAAGAGAGCACCTGCAAAAAAAGTAAAAGAAGTTAATGATAAGACAGACCCACCTGAAGATCATGAGCTGAAATGTGTTTACCATGTTACCTTCTTTAACAGTATTCACGAATCTTCCTGAAATGCTTGCACTTGTCATCAGAAAACTGGTGTCTGCACCATCAAGTGTGGTGAGGCAAGAGCTGTGAGCAGAGAGCAGGCCTGCTACACCTGGCCAAGCCCGCCGAAGATGTCACACTCAGCTCCTCTACCCTGCGACCTCCAGAATTCGTACCACCAGCACCGTGCAGGGACATTATGTATCAGTTGGATCGTAAATGCCTTAGAAGAGGCTATCTATATCTGTTTATTGCCAAGCACATCTTATCGCTTGTTAAACATTAAGTATAGCAGGAGCCTGCCTTTTGCAGGGTTAGCATCATAAACCAGCTATGAAGTATATGCCACCTTCACTCTAATGCAAGAAACAGCTCTACAAAGTCGCTTCTGGATCCTTCCCATCTCAAATCCCTTCTTCCCTCTCTCTGCGCGCAGAGGTATTTCAAGGCAGACCCTAACAGCACGTGCAGCCTCTTCAAATTACTGTGGATTGTCCATGATCTTCCACCACCATCAACAATACAACTCTCTAACAACACTAAATTTCTACCCACTGTTACTGATCTACAGAGAAGAGTCACGCTAGAGGAAATCACTATTTTCACCATGTTACATAATCTATTTTAAGTCTTGCTCCTCATGAAAGGTTTGGAAATCAATGGGCTAGGGGATGATCCATTCCTGACCCTGAATGTCATACTTCTCATCTTGTTTTTTTTTTTTGCTTGCCCTCATTATGAAAATGCAGTGAATCTACAGCAATGAAAACTGATAATTATTCTAACAAATTAAAGTGTCTCTCAGGACCTCAGAGTGGACATTAAAGGAGTTTGAAGGAGCTAGGGAAGTCCCGACTTCTCAAAGCAGTTTCATTGCACTGTTTCAAGAGGACAGTGTTTCAGAACCTGGCTAATTCCTTACCCTGTTCTGTCTCATTCACCAGCTTGGAGAGTTTGGCCCTGATGACTGGGGTGGCTGCCATGGAAAGGAACAACATCCCATAACCTGTGAACAAGACAGGACACATTAGAGAAAGCTCAGCTGAAGCTATATTGACTTAAAACTCTAAGCCTCCAAAGTCAATTCCATACAGATATAGCCCCAGACTGCTTCTCTCTGCTACTGTTTAGTCCCAGTTCACCCTCCCTCCTTTTCACTATTGGTCTTTAGTCTCTGACTGCATACACCTCATCTGTGTGGCTTTCTGAAAACCTAACACTGTTGGATCAACATGGTTGCAGTTTCATCAGTGCTTGGCCAACTCGGCTATTGGCAAGTCCTAGTTTTGCGGGAACATGGGCTGAAGCAGTGACAAAGCTTCCTCCACATTATTTCCTCTCCAGAGCACACTGCTCTCTTGCATGTTCTGGCATCTCTAAGCTAACACCCTGAGATAGCAGGATCTAAGAATTTGGCATCACCTGTAAACATCAGTGGGGTTGTAGTAGCAACAGAAATCACAATCAATCCAGAAATATTGGAGATCAGTCCCATCTCTGCCACCCAGGTGTCCTCCAGGCACAGCTGCAGTGCCCGCAGCCCTGCCAGGCTGCTCAGATAAGCCAGGTAACTGGCGGCTGAACCGTACCCGATGAGATCAGAGGCCCAGCACAGAGGGGAGCCAAGTTCATACAAAACATAGAGGTCCCTGGTTCCGAAGTGTACAGTGACAATGAGAAAGAAAGCTGTGGAGTAGAGCGCGAGCTTCTGCCTGGAGCTCCGGCGTTCTGGAGTAGTGTAGAGCCTGTACACGGCCATGTAATGACTGAGAGTGAACAGCTTGGCTGGTTTCCGCTCCTTCACCGACTCCTGAAGACAGAAAACAGCATAGAGCGCAGCAGCGAGACTGGCAGCGAACACGAGCCAGAAGGGGTTGATGTACCCCTGTGCTTTGCGCCACTGGCCGCCCCCGATGCTGGCTAACATGCCCGCTACGCCGAGGCAGGCCTCGAGCACGGCCACGCGGAACGTGCGCGCACGCGTGTCGCTGGTGTCGGCCGCGTAGGCGAAGCAGCTGGCCAGGATCAGGTTGTAGTCTCCCGTGAGGCCGCTCAGAACGCGCCCAAGAAGAAAATAGCCGACGTGCAGGCGCAGGTACATAACGAGAAGGTAGATGGCCGCTTGCATGGCCATGCCAACTGCGGGCAGGACAAGCACCGGCCGACGACCCACACTGTCGCTCCATGGCCCAAAGAGCGTCACGGAGAAGAGACCCACAAAGAAGCCTCCCAGGTTGATATAGAGGTTCCAGTGGGAGACAAGGGCTTCCACTTCCTAAAAGAAAAACACACATGAGGCACCGTGATCTGCTTGCATGGGGGTCCAGCCCTCCACGGAGCCACCTGAAGCACCGCCGGAGACCCTCTGCTTCCCACCTGCCGCAGGGCGTCAGTGCTGCCATTGGTGCCGGTGCCATTGGCACAGCCGCTGGTGCCGGTGCCGTTATGGCCGCTGTAGCCCAGGTCGGCGCCCAGGCGGTCCCAGAGGTACTGCGTGGCAAGCGGGCCCTGCAGGCCCAGCGCCACAGTGGCCAGGATCACTGCGCCTGCCTGCACCCGCTCCGCCTCCGGCAGCCCCCGCTCACTGCAGCCAAGGAACATTTAATCTTTAAACCTGACTTCATTTTATTATTATTATTATCTAGTACCCAAAGTGCTGGAAGCTGGAAAATGTTACCAATCACCTTGAAAAGTTCATAAATTATGAGAAATTAGGAAATATTTCCTTTTCGCAGACACTTACCGGCTCTCACACACAAGGGCCTCGGCCGCGTTAGGAAGGTTCGTGCTGCCTCCGCGGGCAGCTCCGCAGACAAGCCCCGAGCTGGTGTCTCGCTGCAAAGCGCATGCCGAGGAGTGTTTCATTAACCAGCTCGTGGAAAGCGGGGCTCTTCCAAGCTAATGTCAGCTGGCATCGGTCCATGGACACCGCTGAAGGAATGTTAATGGGATACGGGCAAATCCTGGTGACGATGCAAACCATTTGTTTTGCAGGAGCAGACTTGCAGGGCTCAGCTGCAGCAGCTTGGAGAGAAACAGAGTCTAAAAGGCGGGGGACAGACTCCCCGTGGATGTCGTTCCACTTGCACACTGGCCTGTGTTCCAGGTCAGGGACACTGCCATTGATCCTAACCAATGGTGAAACAACATGTCTATGAAACGGGTTAAAAATTGCTACTGTTTATTTGGTATTAAAGTTCCGTTGTACTCCTCAAATTATCCCCTGATTTAGGGCTTTTACCAAATCAATGTGCCAATTTTAACTGAAATTTCTGCTGTTCTCAAACTTCCCCTCCCCATATCCATAGCACTCACATTTTCAGCACCTCTTATCCTAGTTAAGAGATGAAATTAACGTAGTAAGAGTGAAATGACTGTTTTTACATCATAAACAGCAACTTTGAGTAATTAAAATTCTGGAAAAAGAATCTGTTACAGGTTGCTACCAGCAAGTTCTCAGAAACAGTGTCATAGTTGTAGCAAGTTACTTACTGATGCCTGCTCAAGGTTCACTTGTTTGTAGACCACAGGTGAAAGGCTGTCCTGCAGCTCAGCAAAGCAGAACTTCAAATCCTCTCCTGCACATTTGCAGGTTCAGGTAATTTGCTGCTTGCTTCGTGGACGGCTGCTGGAACAGGGACAGCAATTACTGGTAATTTCCCAACAACTACACCTTTTATTCTTATTTTAAGGCCCTGAAACCCACCCAGGCTATGCTTAAAAACCTGAAAGACCATAAAGGTGGAAACAAATCAAAATAAAAGATTGCAGACTGCTGCATTACAGCCTAGTCTTTCCCAGTCAAGCCAGATAATAACTGAATACAAGGTAGAGTTATTGGTTTCTCTCTTTGATCCAGCATCTTTCTTATAATATAAACAGCTATCATGTTAATAGGGCTAGTCAAAAATAATTTCCTCCCACATTTCCCCTATAACTTTCAAAACAGGGAAGAAAACAGCCGTGTTATAAGGGTGGTCTTTGGCCCTAGTAGATTTTGCTGCCAAAAGAATTTCTCAGTGGATACTACAAGAAATAGTAGGGGGAAATGCCCCTCATCTTCATATCCAAGTGCTATATACATGATGTGATGTGTTTTTAAAATTTCTACGCACTCTTAAAACAAACTTGAACTGATGGTAGAGGGAATAGTTTCTGTTTCTATGGGAAAAATAGCTATATTTAAAGAAAGCACTATTGAATGCCAGAGCTTTATTATTTGTTAGATAAGGTTCCTAGCAATAAAACCTTGAACACAGGTTTTGATTCAGAACATTGCAGGATCATTACAGTTGCCTATCTGTGTCTAATAAAGCTGGAAGGACAACAAGGAGTTAATTCTCTCCTGGATTTACCAGGCATCAGAAGACTGTCTTAAGAAAGTTCCTGGACTGCCACTCTTGCTGTCCCCTCCCTTCTTTGTTCTCTTCCTTCTTTCTCTGATTACAGTTCCAAAAACAACACCCAACTTCCAGAGGTCAATGTTTAATATTTCGGGGTATTTATATAGACTCAGAACAGACCTCAGAGCCTTTCAGCACTGGGCTAGCTCCAGCACCATGGCTGGCGTGTGGCAAGTGCTTCTAGCCTACAGGAACTACCTGGTTACTGTCCTGATACCTCTCTTGCTTCTTCCTCTGCCTCTGGCTGTTCCTACCCAGGTAAGAACTTTTAAAATTGGATTTGAGAGCCAAATCTCTCCTTAGGATTGCTCCTTTTCTGTGGCAGAACTGAAGAGAACACGTTGGTTCCTTCTCAGAGGCAGTTCCATCATTTGCTGCTTGAATAGCCTTTTCTCTAGGTAGACCCTCTTTGACTACTGATACCGCAAAGGTATAAAAGCAATAGGACCTAGAGGGATAAGCAGATATATCTGTGAGTGTGTATTTTAGATGCACAGACAATGATATCTATGTTTTGTATCTTTTGCTTTACAGCTAACTCATTTAGCAAAATACTCGGTGTGCTGAAGCTCATACCTGTGCTTATAAGTTACAGCGTTAGGCAAAATTTTAACCCCTCTTCTGATTTTCTAAAAATATCCGACCCTCACCCTCTTCTAACATTTTGTCATTGCTGTTGCCAGATAGGAGAGAGATTTTTCTAGGCTGAATGAACAAGTTATCCTGGAAAGTAAGGAAGAGGCTGCATTTCAATCTTTACCATATTTATGTAATATTTTAAAAGAATGATTTCAAATGTAAAATGTCAAGTTTTTGAGGATGTCTTGCTCATAACTCCTTCAGAGAGAAAGTAAACTATAAAATCTTGAAGTAGCTACTACTAAGACATCAATCATTCAAATACTAGACCGAGAACGGGCAGAGTGCCACGTTCTGCTGCTTCTTCCCCCTGGGCTCATTTTGTCCCATGCCCAATCTCTCCATACAGATAGCTCCAGTCTCTGCTCTTCAGGTCCTTATTCCAGTTCCAATATCACTAAATAGTTCATCCCAGTGTGCTGCTCTTGTCACTGCTCTTTGCCTATCAAATCCTATCTTTCTCCTCTGTCTGCCTCCTGATCTCCCCAACTCCTAACTCGGAGTTTCTTGCCTCATTCTTCAAGGATCTTTCCCGACTCCACTAACTCCCGTTCCTTTTCTTTTTGTGCAGTCGTCCTCAATTCCCTTCCTTCCCACAGCTCTTTATCTGGGTAGTTCCAGAGTCTTTTGAGCAGAGTCTTTAGAGAGCAGAGGGCTGCCAGACAGACAGAGCAGCACTGGCTTGAGGTGAAATGTGGTAACTGATGAGGCATATCCTCCTATTCCTTCACTATGCAAACAAAACAGCTTAAACTATCACTTAAAAGCTTACTGAAAAGAAAAACAAAAAAGTAATTTTTTGCTAGTTAACTTATCATAGGCAAAAGAATTTAACTTACTGAATCAGAAGGGCTCTAAAGCAGCCAGAAACTGAGTGAGATGATTTTTTTCCCCCCCTGAGGCCACTAAGTTCAAGCCTACTTGCTCGAGTCATTGTTAGCACAACAGGTCTTTGGAGTTTCCTGTGGAATAATTTGGCAATCCTGTTTCAGTTCCTACTTGAAAACGACTCTCTGGGCTTTCTATGCAGTCAGCTACAGCAGAAAGATTTACAGAGTCCTGGACATGTATTATTTTTTTCCCCTCGGAACCTGTAGGAGGGTTTCTGCTGTTAGAATTGTACTCGGTGATATTGCTAGGCAGTGAAAGCTTGTACTTCAGCATGAAAGGCTATAAGCAGACAAAGGTAGAAATTTTGCACGTCTCTTCTGTTGAGCAATTAACCTATCCTATAACCTCATAACACTTGAGACTAGAATAAACAAGGGCAGCCAACACTAGAGATTTCATCTAAAGGCAGAGGAATGAGCAAGCGACTTACGGGACTACTTACTTGCTGGAAAGTCTTATTCCAGCGTTTGTGGTAAGCCTGCTCGCAGCAGCCTGGAAGAGAATGACCCCTGGGTCTACAATATATGTCCCAAAGCCCTGCCAGGCTCTCTCAGGAAGAACCCGTTGACTTCTCCTGCTAACACAGAATGGGAAGAAAAGGATCACCAAGAGGGGAAATAAGTTTCAGTGCTCAATGGGATGTTTAATTAAGGTTTCTATCGTTTCCATTAAAAAACAGGCTAAAAAGGCAGCTCTTTCTCTCTTCAGAAATCCCTTTTAGCTTTATATCTCCAGTGATGCTGCTCTGGTAATTTGCCTCCTTTTATCTTTTTCTCTCCTCCAGCTACTCAGCTCACCTGCTCATCCTTTGCCTTTACCAGCTCTGCAACCTCTGTACCATACTCAGAAGTCCCGAGTTCTAAAGCATCAGAAGATCCTGATGACTGTTATTTTGGCATCTTCATTTCATCTTCTGTAATGCAGCCATTATATTTTCCAACTCTGTTTCATTGTTTTCTCAAGAAGAACCAGTACACTTTAATTTGTACTGTCCAGTATGTCCATGCTGTGTCCAGTGTTGGCTCCCATTATTGTGTAGTCTCAGAACGAAAATGACACTGCATTCTGCAATATTACTTTTTATTACTCTCTTTATCAGCCCAACCATGTGAAATTATCCTTCTAGTTCTGGTATAGAGTTAAATGTTTGTATACAAAGTTTGGAGCTGCTCTCCAAAGCAGAAGTAAATCAATATTTGATTAAAAGAACAAGGTACATGAAATATGTGATCACGCTTTGCTTAAAAGAAGCAACTCAAAGTGAATGGAAGCTAAAACTGACCTGTGACCAGACAGTTTGTCAGCAAGTCTAAAAATCTGATGAAAATGAGACAAAAGTATTTACAATAAAAGGAATCTAGGCTGTTGAAAACAGCTGGGGTTCTTCTAGGCAATGTCCTGAAGCTTGCAAAGAAAAAAAATGGAGAAATCTTGACTGTGTCAATGACTTTTTCCATAACTTGATCATCATATACAGAAATAAATTAAAAAGGAAATACCTCTATCAGCAGAATCAATAAGTCTATGCAAGAACTGCCAATCTCTTATCATGAAGGGTTCAAAGTCATCCATTGTTCCTGAGTTTCTTGCCTTTCCTCATTGAAGGCTCTAGCACAAAACAAACCACTTGAAAGCAGTGCAGCTCCACTTTTCCTCACGGTTCTGACAAGATTGTTGAATATTTTCTCATTTGATCGCGATCTGCATTGCAAGACAGAAGGGAGAGAAAAGGGGTAGCAAACAGCCTTTTACCAAAATCCTTCATCAGATGCTGGGGGGTTTCGTCATGGGCTGTTTCCCTCTCAAAGCTCAAGTGAGTCTATTCTTATTGCCTCTACCCTCTTTCTATCAGGAAGCCCGATGTGCTTATGTTATCATATTGATGGCACTGTTTTGGTGCACAGAAGCCTTGCCATTGGCAGTCACAGCTTTTTTTCCTGTCGTGCTGTTCCCACTAATGAATATCATGGATTCAACAACAGTAAGACATCCATTCCTTGTTTGCCTATGTATTTATTGATCACCTTCTCTTATTTTGAAATTATGTCCAGGGTGACTTCCAGAGTGTGGTGCAAACAGTAGAAAATTGCACTATTGTTACCCAGGGAATCATCTGTACTCTGCATGTACAGAAAACTTGCATGTGTCTAGAATGAACTCTGGGTGGAGCTGCTAATCTGAAATCAAAACAAATTCATTGTTCATAGTCACTTGTGCCTTTCCAACAAGATCCTCCTTCAGAAAATGCTTTCTCTTTAAACTCCGGCTGCTTCTTAGCATTGTTTTCTTCCCCTTGTTCTGTATTACAGGTCTGCAGGGAATATTTGAAGGACACCAATATGCTTTTCTTTGGGGGCCTGCTGGTGGCCATTGCTGTTGAGCACTGGAATCTACACAAGCGCATTGCTTTGCGCGTCTTGCTGATCATTGGAGTCAAACCGGCCCTGTGAGTAACAGCCATTCCTAGTCATGAGAATGTAAAAGCACAATTGGCTGAAATTGGAAAAGATAAAAGTATTGCTTGAATGTGACTGTGCTTTGCACATTAAGAAATTTCCATTGCTTGAGTTATTCAGACTGGGGTAAAATTAGGGCCTAGATCACACTTGTTAAGGATTTTCCAAGCCTAACATTTGTAACCAAAGCTTTGTAATAGGAAAAGTCATCTCACCTCTGAGTTCTGAACTGGCTTTTCAACCCTCCCCATTTCAGACTTCTCATGGGTTTCATGATTGTGACTGCCTTCCTTTCAATGTGGATCAGCAACACTGCCACCACTGCCATGATGGTGCCAATAGCGCAAGCCGTGTTGGATCAGTTGTATGAGTCAGAAGTAGAGTCTAGTTCACCTGAGCAAGGGTCTGAAAACATCAATAAAGCCTTTGAACTGCAGGAAGAACCAATTAAATCGAATGGCTCCCACGTGTCAGAGAAAAAAGGTGAATTAATGTTCTTTTTATTTTCTTATTGGGATAATGGAGGTTGTCTTAGTGCCTTCTTCACTAGAATTTAGAAACAACTATAACCACAAAAGAGGAAGACACCTAAGCATTCCATGTAACAGAGCATTTATGATGCTCTTCCATCAATCAGATAAAACTGTAATAAATTTACTGTGTAAATTATCAGATAATCAGGAATTCCTGAGGGAAATTTCCTGGCCTGTTTTACGCTGTAAGGTTGGATAAAGATTTTAATGACAATTCTAACCCAAAGATATACAACCATGCAAAAGGTTCTCTTTACTGGTTGCCTTTCCCATCTTTGAGGCGGCTCAGGTGTTTCTGCCTGTAAAGCCCAGTGTCCTTAGTCAGATGCTGGTACACAATGAGTTACCTTGAGTCCAACTCCTACGACTATGTTGCACTTTCCTGAATTCTCTTCCTTCCCTTGTGCAGTTCAGATATTCCCCTAATTCACTGAAGAATGTGAGCAGGATATTTGTAGATTATCGCACATTTCTTCTGAAAAAAACTGTATTGTATTTGATTGTATCAGGAGAATTAACAATGTCAGCCCTAAATTAAGTAAATTTAGAACCACTGTGTCCTGGTCTTGATGCACTGCACAGGATCTTCTCCCAGCCAATCTAACTTCCATAGCTCTTTTTTCTCCCTGTATTTTTGGACCTAGGTGACAGTCACGTTATGACAGTTGAGGAAGAGATGAAACAGAGAAATGAAAAACTTCTGGAGGAGAATCACAAGAAATTTAGCAAGGGAATGTCCCTCTCCATTTGTTACTCATCCAGTATTGGTGGGATTGCAACTCTGACTGGGACAACACCAAATCTGGTACTGAAAGGACAGGTTGATGAGTAAGTCTGGTTGAATTTGGGATTACATACTCACTAGCTGCCTCTGTGTGCCACAGCTGACTTGTGGCCATCAGAAAGGAGGAAAATAACCTTTTGGTAACTTAGGGTGCTGCGCAGGACCTCCTCTTTTCTGAATCAGTAGTCATATATACAGAAGACACTGCAAGTTTTGGATTCTGACAACCATCTGCATTTTACAGGCTCTTTCCTAACAACAACAATGTGATCACCTTTGCCTCGTGGTTCTTCTTTGCTTTTCCCACCATGATCTTGTTACTTATTTTATCCTGGATTTGGCTGCAAATACTGTTCTTGGGCTTTAAGTAAGTACCCTTTCCAAACTGTAATACAGCTGATCCTTCTGCTAAGTACTCAATACATATTTTAATGTAGTAAATCAGACTAAGTTTAAAAAAAGAAAAAAAAAAAAAAGAAAGAAAAAAGGCACTCACCTATGACAGTCCCAGAACTGCATGCTAAGTACCTGTTAAAATGCTGCAATGTTTTTCTCCTGGGAACCTGATCAAATCCCAGATAGATGTATTCCAGGCTACCTCTTTAGCACTCAGTGGAAATAGAAACTTTAACCAAATATAACCTACTCTGCAGCATTTCTGTCATATCCCCTGCCCCCAAATATGTTGTGCTTCAAACCAGGAATGACAATATTCCATTAATTGATTTCTACATATAGCCAGTAAATACCGCTATGATGACAGTTGCTACAGGCCTGCACGATTAATATTGTGCCAGTTCTCAAGTCTAGTCAGTCCATATGACCAGCATGCACTACCTACCTGTTTAATACTTAGACTATCAGTTTTATGTTATTGCCAACCTCTTCACTTCTAACAGAAAAAAAAACATTCGCAAAAGTATTTTCTTATTCTTTAAGCTCTTCCTTAAAAACAAACTTTGTTTTGTAATTAAAAAGGCTTGACAAAAGTTTACTCACTGGTGATGACATTGCCTTGTCAGTCACACTAGCTTGTCATCGTTTCCCATCAATGTCTAGAGTGCAGCTTTTTATATCATGAGCTTTTGGCGTCAGGAAGCTTCTTGTCATTCATCTCAACAGCATGTAGCAAAACACAGTTACTATGGATGTTGATGCTATGATAATTTAGATATATGCATGCATATAGATACACATATGTCGATATGGCTGAGTTACAGAATTTAGATTTTGAAGATATGTAGCAAATTTCTGGTATCTCTTGTCCATTTTCTTTCTAGTTTTCCGAAGAACTTTGGTTGTGTTACGAATGCCTCTGCAAAGGCGAAGGACAAACAGGCTTACAGCATTATCAAGGATGAGCACAAGAAGTTGGGCTCAATGACATTTGCAGAGATCATAATTTTGGTCCTCTTCATAATACTGGTACTGCTGTGGTTTACTCGAGATCCTGGTTTCATGCCAGGCTGGGCAACTGTTCTCTTCACCAAAAATGGTACAAGGTATTGCCACTTTGCCTCTAACTCTGAGCAAAAGTAAACCAGGAAATCCTAGAAATATAAAGTGTAGTCTCACTTCTCACTTCCCAAATCATATTTCACCTGTATTCCCAGATGGAATTACCACTACTTAGTCTGTGAACAAGCCTTTCTCTACCATCATACCAAATTCGTATGCAAAACTTTCACTTATCATCATGCTACCCTGTTCTTTCAGTTCCCTAGGCATCTAAAACACTATTAAACTAATTTTCTGCCTGATCTATTACAGCTTTGTCACTGACGCTACAGTTGTCGTCTTCATTTCACTTTTGTTGTTCATCATCCCTTCTGAGATTCCTAAATCCTTCTCCTATACCAGTGGTGGAGACAGACAGCAAACAAGTAAGTTTACTGAAAGCCTCAAAACTCAAGTGTCAGAACAGGAACACAGGAAATTTCTTTACATTTTACAATTTCAAACATTAAACAAGATTTCAAATTGCACTTCCTGCATAGTTTTGGCTACATGCTTTAGGTTAGGCAAGGTGTATATCACATAACAGAACTGTTTCTTGTGACTGCACTAAGTGCCTCATCTAAGCGCCTAATCTAAGCAGTGCCTCAGAGATTAGTACATTAAAAGTTCTGAAGCTGGATTCTAGAGGAGAGAATATGTGACTTAACAGAAACACCCACAGCTTTAAGGATATGTTTCCTTACTTCTAATACACTCATACATTTAGTTCACCTTGTTACGCCTCTTGGAGCAACAACAGATTATTCATTAGTATTTTTGCAAGTCAACTTTTAAAATCTTTGTTGCTGAAGCTCCCATCATTTCCTTTAGGAGATAATTTTGTAATCTAGTTGATCTTGCTGACAGAAAGTTTTGACTATGTTCAGACTAAAACCACTTCCCACTCACAAGCTATCTTTTCTGTGAAGAATGTAAGAGGATTTACAAAATCTTTTTGGATTTTAGACAGCAAGCCAAAGATCCCAGTACCCGCACCTCTCCTGGACTGGAAAACAGTTCATCAGAAAATGCCATGGAATATTGTTTTCCTGCTGGGCGGTGGCTTTGCCTTAGCCAAAGGCAGTGAGGTAACATTCCTGTGCTTACCTGAGTACTGCTTAGCTGATGACTGCACAATTTCCAGCTCGTGTTGTGCGTGCTCTTCTGGAACAGGAGAGGGCACGCTGGTCGCAACAAATGAGCGTTTCTGCAGGCACGGGCACCAGACAGACTTCAGCCCCCTCAGGAGGAATGCTGTGGTTAGAAGAACAAATCATTGCTGCCTGCACAACCAACATGCACTACCAGTCAAGGCAGCATAATTAACTATGTTTCTAGAAAAGGGAATAATGCAGAAAATACCCCAATACGTTACCCATTCCATTTGGCAGAACTTAATTGCACGAGGTGTTAGCGTGCCCAGGAAGGGCTTCCAAACCATTTCAATCACTAACTACATAAGGAAATATAATGTAAACTACACAAGAGACACACTGCTAGCTAGAAAACCTTAGAGAGTGGACAAGAATGTCAGGCTGTCATACTGATGTGCTTTTGCAGGCACCTGCGAGGAATCCAGTGATAAATTTCTTTTTTTCAGTAATGGAACAGATAATACACTTATTAAATTTACAAGACAATAATCACACTGGAAAAGGTTTCAATCACCTGGGAATACTAGCTTAGAATTCAAAGACCTGTAAGTGTTACTATAAAACAGAAAACAAGGATGCAGCTAAAAATGGAAAACAGATCTGAAAAAAACAAGCATCTGGAACCTCTAAGTAGGTGCATCATACATAAGACATGTAAAATTAAATCCTTTCATTCAGGACTGGCAAGTCCTCAGGTACTTTAATATATTAAGTTCTGGAACTCATTCTTCAATGATATGTGGATTATACAAATAAACTTTAGAGGAAAAATTATCATGGGTCTGGAAAAACTGTCGGAAAAAATGAAATGCTAGAAATTACATTAATTTATTCTAAAAAGTCATCAATGCATAAAAAGCTGTGTGAAAAGGGAAGACAGTATTCCTTTTTTTATTCTTATTTTGGCTAGGACAAGCGCTAAAGGGCTTAATCTGCAGTAAATGAGATTTAGGTTATTCATTAGGAAAGTATTTCAATTATAAAGATAGTTAAGCACTTGAATAAATCATTTGGGGAGCTTTTGAAATCTTTTTGAGATTTTTAACTACAAATTGGAAAAACATCTGTCAGGAATAATTTAGATAGAGAGAATCCTGCAGTAGGGCATAGACTTAGATGAGTCCTTTCAAGACAGGTTTCAACCCTCCTGCAAGACAGAACTTTTCAGGGTTAGAAAAGACAAGTTATGGTAGCTGAGACATTACATAAAGGCGACAGAGAAGAATAATGTCTGCAAAAAACATAAGAAAGCTAAGCCATAGTACATAAAGAAGCAACATAGGCACAGTAAGGATACATCCACTTGAGAGAAAGACTTGAATAAAAAGGATGTCCAAATTATGGACTGATTGACTGATTCAAGGAATAATAGGGAACATGCTGGTGTTTTCCAGTGTCTGAAAAAGATGAAAGAATCGTTTCAGATGATCTGTGAAGATCTCGGACTCAGCTGTGATGAAACACATCAATAGCTAGGACATATCCTAGGGTGTATGTAGGTATTTAAGAAAGTGAGTCCCAAGATCTTAGTGGAGATTTTTAGGAAAGTACACTGAATAGGAAAGTATATCGACTGAATTATTGTGTCCTACACAAGCCTTTATATTTTTCTGTCAAAAGTGGTTTGTATAAGAATTTTTAGAAGAACAGAGGGTGGGGAATTCAACTGGACAGTGATGTGGGAATTTGTTCTGCAGCCTGCTATCTTGACAGACCTCTTCCTTTACTTCCCTAACAGGAATCTGGTCTGTCTGCATGGATAGGCGACAAGCTGACTCCTCTGGAGAACATCCCTCCTCCAGCCATTGCTTTCGTCTTATGCCTCCTCGTTGCTACTTTCACGGAGTGCACTAGCAACGTAGCCACCACTACCCTCTTCCTCCCTATTCTGGCTTCAATGGTAAGTTCCAATGTTTCAAAATATTTCATAAGAACAGCTTTCAAGTCTGCTCCAAATATTTATCTGTTCAGTTATACAAACTAACTAGTTGACAATGCCAAGCATTGGTTCATATGTTTGATTATGAGACAAGATTTAAAATATACATATATATGTATATGCATATATATTTGCATACACTATATGTTTAGTTCAACCTTTCTAAAATCATTGCAGGTGAAAAGTAAAGGGATTAAATTCACTGGACTATTAGATTTTGCCTTCTGGCCTAAACAACCTCATGAGGTCACTGCCAGCAGTACTTGTTTTTTCCCCTATTTATTCTGGACAGAGGCAGCAGCAGCATTTGCTTCCCTGCAACATTCCATTACTGTATTTCACTCCAACCACCAACCTTCCAGAAGTCTCTGTAAAGGAGATACCATTAGTCAGTCTCTATGACCTAATTCAGACTTTTGCATTTCCACAGAAGATGGCTGTTGCTGGGGTGGACATATTTCTGCAGTTTAAAATCCTGGTCCCAGATATCTGAATAAGCTATACCAAAACCTTTTGCATAGGCCACTGACTCCAGCTGCCTAGTAAACTTACCACTCATCTTCAGATTTTGGGCTACCCTATTCCCACTGATAATTTAATTTTGTTCTTAACTAATTTGAAGTCATTTTACATTTGCTTTCCTGGTTTTGGAGTTAAATACAGCCATGAAGATTAATCTGTACTGCAGCAGTGGTCAGGTTATACAGTCAGGAACAAAAAGCACCAACCACAAAACCGATTCTTAGTTTTGCTGAATAAAGAGTTTGAACAGAAGTTTTTAACGCAGAACCAAAATACGAGTGGCTACAGCGTTGGTGAAAGAATGGGGTTTCTGACATGGACAAATGCAGTCTTCCCTCAGGAGATTTCTGTATATTTTTTTTTGTATCAGCTAACACCATCTTTGCTCTCCTTCCTGCACAGGCTCAAGCAATCTGCCTCAATCCACTCTATGTCATGCTGCCCTGCACACTTTCTGCATCACTGGCATTCATGCTCCCGGTGGCTACTCCTCCTAATGCTATTGTCTTCTCGTACGGACAACTCAAGGTTATAGATATGGTGAGCAAAAGCAAGTTTCTTTTCAGAGTCCTCATTGGTAGTTTTTCATCTTCCCATATTGCTTCTTCTTAGGTCACTCTGACTTTGGCATGTACTCAGAGCCTTATTGAATATGCTACTGAGGACTCAGTATAGCAGATTTTCTGCAGGAGTTGTGAATAAAGGCCAAAGAGGCAAGACAGAAAACTATCCATACAAACAGCTCCAATGAGCAGGGAAGGAAAAAATAATCTGTTCAACTAATAACCCTTTCTATTCATAATTTAGGCTAAAGCTGGATTTGTACTGAACATCCTAGGAGTTCTGGTAATAACTCTAAGCATCAACACCTGGGCTACATCCTTGTTCCAACTGCAAACCTTTCCATCTTGGGCAAATGGAACAACTTCGTGCTAGTAACATGAAATGACAAAGAAACCAACAACTCTGACAGAACTGCAATGTGAGCAAGATATCATCTGCACAAGAGCTGGTTGAGATGGCCCATTCTGCGGGAAAGGACATGCCACTTATAAGCAAAATCACTCACTGATAACAGCAATAAAACGGCCTAATGGTTCTGTTTTAGCGAGCAATTTTGTTACTCCAGCAGATAGTTGAGGTAGCCTTTTGCTTTTCAGCTGTTACAGATATCTTTAGATTTTGTTTTTCATGTAGTAGTGGCAAATTTTCCCCAAGTGCTACGTACACTAACCGTCTTTCAAGCTCTGTTTCTGGAGCCCAAAATCTACAGTGAGAGAGAAAGATGTGCATAAGTAAAAGGGAGAAAAGATACTCTGAGACTGCGTTCATGACTGTATCATCAAAACTTATACTAATATTTACCTCCCTGTGAATACACAGGCTTTTGTGTATATGTTCAAAATGTATATAAGATTGTTATATACTCTATGGGCATTCATACTAGGGCATGTATTGCACAATTACAGACAAATCAAAGTGTCAGATCATTCTATTACTTTGTAACATATTTATTTACAGTTCACACTGTTTTGAATGTAAGAGATATTCTTTCTAGAATGTATGTCCTATTGTTATTTATGTAAGATTACAGCCTGGAAGGTTGCAATAGAAATAGTAATACTGTCTTGAAAATAGGGGAATCCTTGTGTCCTGAAGTATGTATAATTGAATTAAAGATTTTTATATAACTCTTGTGTTAAGGGGATTTTTCTTCTACAAAAATATCACTACTTGCACTTCTGCCTTCCATGTTTCAACTGCTTGTCCATGCCTTCTTTAAACAACTTGCAGTAATCAGGAAGCTAGCGAAGATATTATTTCTGGTAACATTAAAATAATAATTGCTTTATTAATGAGAGTATAATTTCCTTGTACTCTCAATTACTTGGATTCTCAATACCAACATTATCTTTTCAAAAATCCATCAGACAGTTAAAGTTTTTAATTCTTATTCTATAGGATCTGAGTTTCAATAGCATAGAGATTCCTAATGACCAAGCTAACAAAGATGGTGGAATTTTTCGTTGTCCATCAGCATCTGAATTTCCAAAGCACTTGGAAAATCAAGCACCTAATTTCAATAGACAAGGCTGGCTCTAACAGAACAGTTAGTGCATGTCATTGCACTTCAGGTTAAATCACTTGTTTTGTTGCTGCCTACCTAAGTTTTTTCACAGTCTAGTACATTACTAAAATCATACTTCACCACCACTGCTTTAATGCAAATGATGTTATGAGTCAAATTCACTCTAAATAGCATGCAACCTCTTCAAAATCCTTCTCCTTTTTTTTTCCCCTCCTAATTAATGGTAACATAGCACAAAGTGCTTTGATCTAAAAAAAATAAAAAAAAGTCAGAATTCCTCAACAATTGATCTCATTCATGTAAGGACATACTTAGATTGCTGCTAACCCACTCACCTTTCCCTTTGTATTTACCTCTATCAAATAATACCCAAGTCTGTCTAAATATTTTCATTACCTTGCTCATCTGACAAACCCAAGCAGAAGATCTGCTGCAAACCTCTCCCTTCCCTGCTCTTTGTTTCTGGCACCGAGGCAGTGAGCACAGCTTTTGTTTGCTTTTTGTTTTCTTTGAAATACTTGCGCTTAGTTTATATGTCCTCCTAAATTACTGCTTAGCTAAGCAGGAAATGCTGAATTCTTATAACATTTCCCGTCATCCTCTCCTTCCTGCCCTTCAAAACTGTGTTATGATTCTTTGAAGTCTTTTCTATTACTCTACATTATTCAGAGGCTGTGGTGTGCATAAGTACACGCAGGAGCACAGGTGCAATCTTTATGGCAATCTCAAGAAGAAAGACATCAAGTAGCACGGAGTGTCACGGGGCCAATGCAGTAATGCTGGGTGTTCCATGTTCATTAGCATAGATGAGTATATAAAGGTTAGAGACTTACCATAAAATGGCTCCAGCAAAAGCTACTTGAAGGGTATTCAAATCCCGAGCTTCCAGGAGGAGACAGGTGAAAGGCAGGGCAATAATCTACAGAGAGAGAAGAGAAGGTAACGATGATACCAGGACATAAAGAGAACGGAAAACTCATTAATAGATTCCACCTGAAATGATGGTATTGAAAAGTAGACACAGGGCAGTTTATTGCCTTGGGAGAGTCTGAGGGCAGGAGTAGTTGAAGTATAGCTAAATATAGTGTGCTTGTGCAAAAAACAACCCCGCGACACTATTAAAAATGTTTATAATTTTCTAAGCAAAGCAGGTAGAAAGTGTTTCTAAGCCCCATTATTACACAGATCACCTTTGAAGGGTGGTTCCCCATTATGTTTCCAGATATTGCCCTCAAGGAGTGGCTCTATTTCCCATTGTGTGATCAAATTTCACAATCTTCTGCGAAACTGCCAGCTCAGCACCTGCTGTAGCTAGGTGTGATTCCCAATGCAGCTCTTCATTTTGGAGCTGACACTAGGTTTGTTTTACATTAGGAGTCGTAAGTGATAAATTTGTTAACAAGAAGGGGATGTCTGCTTTCTTGCCTGCCTTGCCTAAGAAGTGAGCGCGCTGCAAAACCACAAAATGCAGGTTTCCCACAGCAGATGCCAGTGAGTAAGTGGGTGTCTTGCAGTCACCTCCTCCATTTTCCCTGCAGTTATGCTGCTGTCATGTCCTGCCCAGAAACACACACAGAGCACTACAGGCGCACACATGTACACATTAGAGATGACGAAGGACTCACCCTGATACATACACCTCTCCAGTACACACAACCATGGCAGAAAATCAGGTGAACATTAAGCAAACACAAGAATAAAAATAGCTTACAGCTGAGAAAGGTACTTCTTCATAAACATCTCTACAGGAATTTGAGCATCATGCAAGTGATGCAAGAGCCACTCCATCAAGCACTGAAATCGCAAGCAGACCTAAAAGAAGAGATGATGATTTTTAAAGACAAGATAGGAGAAAGTCAAATTCTTTTTTTTAATACTGAAGCTGGCTTGAAGAAATCAGACATTTCCTTCCACTCATTTAAATAAACTCAGAAGTTGTTAAGAGTTTTTTTTTAAACAAAGTAAAAATAAAAATATTATAAAAACAACATAGAAGGAAAAAAAAAGTGAAAACTGCTGTCCATGACCCCGTGGACAGTAAAGACAAAGGAAACCAAAGGAAGGTTTTATCACATAGTCATAAGTATGTATGCAGCTCTACAACTTTCTCCAGAAGCTGCAAGAGCAGTTTCATTTTGACCCTAGAAACAAGGGCTCCTCCTGCAGATATCCACGTGTCTTGGGAGAAGGTGGCATCTTTGTGCAAAACTCCAACCATCTGTGTCCCAAGGACAAAACTCTCTGCTCTCAGAAGGTATCGTGCTGCTTTTAGTGTTTGCAAAGGCATAAAATGAACTTAAAATTTATGCAGTAAAATATATAATCAATCGAAAAATAGAAAACAGAAATACAAGGACTTAGGAAATATATAACTTCAAATCATCAAGGAATTTCACAAGCCTCAAATCTTTTCCAGCATGGAACCAATAAAACAATTTATAATGTGATTCACTGAATTTTATGATTTGAGTTAATAATGACCAAGGTGCCAAGCCTGGAAACAAAGTAGGTTTGAGTTCACTAATCATCTATTGTCCAGAATAATAACTCTTCAATAAAACTTAATCGCTACTGTCCTTGTGAGTTTTCTCCTTTTAAAAATACATTTATTATTATTTTTCCTTTAATCATGCTAACAGACGGAAAATGTCAAGTTGCTATTTAGAGAGATCCCTCTGTAACGTGCCATCTAGTGGCTGCTAACAGTCTTCCAGGGCATGCCCAAAGTTTCTAGTTTTGACGCTGATTCTGTCCTGAAACCATCCTTAAATAGCTAAGGAGAAAGTAATGGAAAAGAGTAACATTTTTAAGAGGCAGTGCCCCACAACATGCCTGCAAAATTAGAAGTATATTAATAAAATAAGCTAAACACAAAGTACCAGAAAAAAAAAATCACACAGACAAAAATAAAAAGCACAGAAAAGCTAATTTGCAAGTTCAACCTCGGTTGTTAGGTTTAATATGGATCACACCAAATGCAAATGCTTTGAGGTTCAGATGTTTCATGGCTATGTACAGTACCTATCTTGATAAAGCACCAATACTCACTTCTTTTAGATGGTGCTGTAATTTAAGTACTAGCAATAATTAACTAAAATATCAATACTTTATTGTGCTTCAACTTGATACTTTTCTGCCAGCTTTGGATTAGAATTTAAGTCCTCCTGCTTACTTAGCAGCATTATGGGAATTTCCTCATTTTTCCCTTGATCCCTGTCCAGTCTAAGAGAAGCAGAGCAACTTAAAAATTTGCCCAATATCTGCTAATTAGCTGTCACCACTAACAGTTATTCCAGAAATCTGTCATACGACTCTTCCATACCTTGGAAGGAAACCGAAAGCCTTAGGATACCAAATTTCATTAATTCTGCTGATTACAGAGCTTCTTGTTTCTTTCAATAAAGAAAAAGGAGAAGTGGTTAGAATTGTCACCGTAACTAATGTTCATGTTAACATGGAATTGCAAAACGTCAAAACAGCAAATTATTTAAAAGCAGAAGGGAAATATAGTCCCAGTACAGTTAGCTCTGATGGCACTAGCTTTCCTGGTTGCCTATCAAGAGGATCTTAACACAGCAAGCAGTGGTTATTTGGGACCTATTGTGACTGTAAAGGAAAAGTCCCATTTCCCTTTCTGCTGTAGGACTATCCTGATGAGACTTGCCAGAAAATTCAAAGGGATCTTCTTTATTTGTAAGATGCCTGTCACCTGAAGCGAGTTTGAATTTTCCTTTCTGTTGTTACCTCTAGCAATATCCTTCCTGCTACATGAAACATGCAATCATAAATCACTTGTCTGCATTGCAGATAACACAGTTGTACAATGGGAGCTTCCTCACACCTGCGCTTTTTCTTTTCTCCTTAGATCTAACCAAACAGTGTTGTGGTATCAA